ATTATTAAATATACTATTTTGGTAACACTTTAGAATAGGGAGCACATATTCACTATTAACTAAGAATTCTCCCTGAACAGACTCCTAATTTGCTGCTTATTAATAGTTAGTAAGGTAGTTGTTAAGTTTAGGTATGGGGTTTAAGGATTAAGGGATGCAGAATAAGACATTAATATGTGCTTTATAAGTACTAATTAACAGCCAATATTCTAGTAATATGTATGCTAATAAGCAACTAGTTAATAGTGAGAATTGGTCCTCAATATAAAGTATTACCATTACTTTAAATGTAATATTGAATAACTCTCTACAGTTAAAATGATAATCAAGTACTTTACATGAGCTTAGTATGTTAGTCAACACATTAAAATGAAAGCACAACAAAAGATTAAAACAAATTGAATAAATTTGAAATATACTTGGAAAATAAAATGTTTAATAATTAGACATGATTACAAAGTGCACTTAAGTGTGTTACGGAACACAGTCATGAAAGTGTCTCTAAGTACACTTGAATGGCTTTTTGTTTCATTAATGTTATTATCTGCATGTTTTTTTTTGTTTTTTTTTAATACTTGAACTATTAATGCAAATACAGATATTTGAGCAGCCCTACTTTTTCTGAAACATGACTGTTTCAGTTTTCTTGTGAATACAATAAAGTACATGCATGCTGTAAACCAATATTAATAGCCAAAATATAATATTTTAGGTCAAATTGATTCGGCTGACAAAAACTTTGGGAATCCCTGCTGTAAGCAATGCATTTGCAGAAACGACCTTTTGCTTGACTTTCAAACTACAAAATAGGGCTGTGCAATATATCATAATTATCGAAACATCGCAAATGTACATATCGCAATATGCATATCTCTACAGCTTGCAATATTTGGAGCCATGAACAAAAGACAAAGAGAAAATCACTCACTGCTCTTACCTAAATAACTTTTGTAGCTTAAATAAGAATCAGTGCATATTGAATTCAAAGAGTAAATACTAATAAGTGTTTTATTTTTCCTTTTTATTATTCAGTTCCTAAACATGTTAAAATGATATCGCATATCGCATTTTTCTTCAATATCGCACAGCCCTACTACAAAATCGTGAATATTGCTAAATATCAAAGAGTAACGCCGCTCTTTCTATAGATGGACCTTTAGGGGAATATCGACCATGCTAATGCTTGAGTTCAAGCCCATCCTTCACAGTCATACTGGATCAATACCACTTTCTGCTGTACTGGACATGACTTAGCCAACCACAATTCAACAACGACACAAATAGAACAAGATGTATGCAATCACCAAGCAGCAGAGAGACACCCGGATAAGAAACAAAGGGAGATCATTCATTGTGCAAGCTACTACAAAAAGCAACTCGATTTTTACATTTCCAAATATAATGTGATAATCCTTTACTCATACAAATGTAAACGCCATGATGATAGGGTGTTTTGGGCATTGCTAAAAGTGTTCCGTTTTTTTTTTAGTATGTCGGGATATGGTTCTGGGTGTTACTGGCACAAGTCAGTACGATGAGGCCTGGGTTCCTCCTTCAATGTAAATATATGAGATTTTTCTCATTCTATGATCTTGACTTAGTAAGCACCCCTAAGAATAACTAATCAGTAGCTTTGAGCTGTTTTATTGTGACTTGTGTTTCACGGGACTCGTAGCCGAACATTTCACATCGCAAGTGCAATGCTGTACCGGGTGGGCTATCGAGCAAGTTTACTACATCAGAAAAGCCAAACATATGGAACTGGTAATGAGATGCAAACTTCAAAATGTATTAGTTTACAAATCAAGCACTATGATAAAAGTGTTTTAAGGTCATAAAATAGTATTGTGCAAGGAACCACCTGAAGATAAGTCTTTATTAATCAATAAGCTGCCCTTGTAATCGTAATTTATGTGAAATGCCACGTGTGTTTATTTGATCCTTTTTGGAGTTTTGCAAAAGTGTAGGCATAGGCACGTTTTTCCAGTGAGCCTGGGTTGAATATATATGGCTAAACTCAACTAGCTTGGTTCCACCCTATAAGCCCAACCCCTTCATTTCATCTTCTCCACCCTCTGTAGTCAACCACAAACTCTAACATCCTCTTAAAAACATCCCAGGAATCCCCGAGATGTGTTTTCCCAATGACCAGAACAAAGGCTTTTACACCCTATTCCCAGCATCTCCACTAGTATCAATCAAATGCAATCCAAATTAATTGAATTGAAGGCTGTGTGAGAGTTAGCCTGCTATAAAAGCTTGCACACATATAATGCACAGACTACACTGAGCATGATATATTACTCCTCTGAGACCTGAAGCTGGCATTACAGGGTTTAGGGCCGTCGAAAACGTTACTGCTTCTGCCTGACTAGTCCCTTTTAACCGTTGTGTTGGCTTTACAGGAATCTCCCCCATCACACCGGAAACCAGCAGTTTGGCAAACAGCCAGAAACCCCTCACGGTGAAGCCCTGCCCATAAAAACACCCCCACCAGGACCTTAGTGATACATTCTAAATATACGAAGAGTGGTTAGTAATAGCATTGGACGTACGAACATGAGAAGAAATGTACAATAAAATAACAAATGAACAATTTTATGCACTGTATCTCTTTCGTAGTGAATCACCTTCAGGCTTGAACTGATCTGATTCATATTCCACCTGGTTTAACTGTGGTTGATGCATCATTCATCTATCATTTTTATTATTGAATATGAATGAATAATTCACTATAATGGAGGGGCTGACTCAGAGGACAATAACACTGCTCACTGCTGTCGCACAAGGGTAAAGCAGTTCAATGCTTTACAGTTAAACTTAGATTATGAATTAGGTATCATGTTAATTAACTGTGAACAACGATCTGTCTAGCATTTACTAATGCAGGTTGATGTTTATTGCTAAATACTATTGTTAATTTTTCAAATTCATGTTCATTCGTAATTCATAGATTATTGCATTAACTAATGTTAATCTACAGACCCTTGTTAGTGTTACAATTACAGGTGAGCAGAGCTGTCAAAGCCTCTATAGACAGGGAGGCTTATAATATAATAATAGATAATAGATCAATTCTACCACTGCATTTTAATAGACAATAAAACATACAGTATTAATGTATTGACAGCAAAACGTAAATCATGTTTATATGGAGAAATTTACAAATGTACAAATGTAATGGGTCCTTATTTAATCTAATATTTAATTCATGCAATTAATTGGTTCATATTATTGTTGTTGACTATCACTGATATTATGTATGTGTTATGACTTATTTACTAATTTTGAAATGATATCAATTCATTCTGTTCAGTGACACTTCTGGTGCAAACTCTTTCAAATGATTACATGTTAAACAAGACTACACTTTAAAACCTTAAAATGAATAAGAATTCTGTAATAATTTAACCATTACTTATGAAATATTTTATTATCCACTGCAGTTTTCTGAATGTGCTATGACTCCAAAAATGTAACAATAAAGGATCACAAACAACCTTTTATTCTTGCACTGTAATTCAAATTTTCAGAATCCACATGAAGCCATATCAAGTTTTTATTCAACGATCTTCATCTACAACCTCAGTAGCGACTGTAACCATCAAACCGTGCAATCGTCAAAAATGTGCTGCCTTAAGAAACGTTCCGGTGTCTAAACGATGCCTGAACCTATACTTATTAAAAAATAAATAAATAAAAATTCCCCCAAAAATGATGGATTGGCCATTAGCACTATAAACAGATGATGTCTGCTTCATTTATACTGGATGCCAGAGGGCAACCTGCGTACAGTAAATCCACATATCCAGTCACAGAAGTAACGAACTCATGACCCTCCAGGAAATCCCTTATATGGACAAAGGCATCTACTGCATTCACGCACTCCTCAGATGCTCTCATTTCCCGAGTTGTGCTTTTAAGTCGGAATGTGAAAACAACATGGACACTCTCGTTACTACAAAGATGTTTTGGATTTGTATTATTAGGGCTTTCCGACTTGAGTTCAAGTGCATTTTCTCAGTTGGGAAATTATTTTTCCCGTGTGGTGCCAGTCATGATGCTTCTTACGTCCGTTTCGGAGAACCAGAGGACACATATTTCAATCGATCGCTCAAGCATGGCACCGATATGAGGCACCGAAATCTGCATTCTGATTCGGTTTTATTACATACCGGTTAGTATGTGCCATATTGGTACCGGATTTCGGTACCCAACCCTAGTTATGACCAATGTTGTTATGTCATCACATGCTTTTTGGTTCTCATGTGACTTGCCATATTTCAGCTGACGTTTGTACGTGCACCTTTACAGAGTGGATCATAAGATTTTCAACAATTAACAACTTAATTTCTGCTCTGTACCTCTCGTGAGAGAGCACTTCGCATGCAACACATTGTAATTTTGGTCGACTTTGGTACTACAATTTCTAGAATAAATTATTGTGATTATTACACTACACTCTAAAAAATGCTGGGTTAAATACAACCCAGTGCTGGGTAAAATAGGGACCAACCCAACAATTGTGCTGTTTTGACCCAGCGGTTTGATTAAATGTTTAACCCAACCGCTGGGTCAAAACAACCCAATTGCTGGGTTTGTCCCTATTTTACCCAGCACTGGGTTGTATTTAACCCAGCATTTTTTAGAGTGTACACTTGTATGTCTGTCATATTTCTTTGTACTGAATATACTTTATATTGTATGTATCTATATACTGGTGAATGGTAGCAAATTATTATCACTGTACATTTTTCTGCCTATTAGGTTTTTTATATTGTTGATAAGAGTGATTATGTTCATAAGGTTAAGAGATGTACAATACTGTATATTTATACAACTGTGAAAATGTAGCTATATACATATAATTGTGATCTAAAGGTTTTGCAAATATTTTATGCTTCAACTGTTTACTTTTTAGATGATGTCAGTCCTTCCATATTTTAGGTTTCAGCATCCACCCCAGTATACATAAAAAGTACAAAGTACAAAAGCCCTACCTTGTTGGTCGGAGATTGATTTCTTTCCAATCAGTTTCAATGTGACATCAATGACTTCCAGCAACATTAACTGACCTGAAAGTAGTTCACATGAGGGCAACAGAATTAAGATTAACCTTCCTGTTTGGTGAGAATTTATCTCAGATGAGGAAGAATAATGTCTTTTGAATGGTTGGTTCTGCATTTCTACCCACAGCTGTACAACACCAGCTGTCAACTGTGCACAACTGATTCAAAATCATCTTCATTTAATACATATTAACTACAAGCACTTTTTTTTGGTAAAATTGTTTTCTTTTCTATTCCCTTCACTCAGCATGAGCAGCAACAATTGTTTTCAGCATTTTTACTCATGACAGATTAGCAAGAAGATTGGTTAAATGGACGAGAGACCAGCTACACAATCCTGCATTGACCACATGCCACTGCAGGTCAATTTCAAGCTAATTTACTGTGTGACCTCCGCTGGCTCACATGAATACTGCTTACATTGTGCACCGGCAAAGAAAGGTTCTTTCTCATTGGCTGACCGGTAAGAGCAATGAGAACCGAGATCAGACAAGAGCGGACGGCT